CAATTGAAATATTAAAAAGAAATATGAATCTAAGTTATTAAATTGGTACTACTTCGATTCTGACTCTATGTTTATCTGTAAAAGTAAAAAGTGGCAAGTAAAAAGCCTGGCTTGGCTTGGCTTGGCCTGGCCTGGCTTGGCTTGGCTTGGCTTGGCTTGGCTTGGCTTGCTTGGCTTGCTTGGCTTGGCTTTGCTTGGCTTGGCTTGGCTTGGCTTGGCTTGGCCTGGCCTGGCTTGGCTTGCTTGGCTTGGCTTGGCTTGGCTTTAACCTGGCTTATAGTATCATAGATTACCGTAGGATCAGTGTGTAGGGTATTATCAAAGCCAAAAACTTAGCAAAATCATGGTCAGAATTGAAATTTGCACCTTAGCGAATAATATAATATGGGACAAACAATACACAAGCATAACCCCTAAATTCTAAAGTCCCTTGATACTTTGAAATATAGCCCATAAAAAAAATATAATAATGTGATGGCCGACTGGCTGAGCCCTTTATCTTAGTCGGGAGGTCGTGAGTTGTTAGATTAGTGATCAGTTGATCAATCTTGACTAGATTAGTGCTTCTTTTTTCTCATATATCTGAGTTCTACATTTAGAATTTAGGGGTTATGCTTGTGTATTGCTTGTCCTATATTATATTATTCGTGTGAATGAATGTACTTTTTTTTTTCTTCATACATGTGTAGCTTTAAATAAGATTCTAGATTCTAGATTGAACTTGAGGCAAAATTATGCAGATTACGGGGGTGAAGGGGAATGATGGGTGAGCATTGGAAAGTGAAAAAAACCTGTGGATTTACAAGGCTAACATTAGTATAAATGTGTGAATTTTATTGAATTTAACTTTAAAATAGGCTAGACTAGTTTAAAAATTGTTTTAAAAAAATTTCCAAATCTAGTCCTTGAGATCTCTTGAAAGTCCCTTTAAATCTTAATCATGTTTTTTTTTTGCTTCTCTTTTCTTTTCTCACTTTAACAGAAGTAGCTGCGGTCATTCTTGATGTCAATGAGAGGAGAAAAGAAAAGAAAAGAACAGAGAGTGACCCAATGAAAGAATGAAAAGCAAGACGAAGTCATTCCCTATTCTATCCCTCTTCATTCTCCTCTCCTCTCCATTCTCCTCTCCTCTCATCTCCATTCCTCTATATAGATTCATTTTCTCTTCACCCCTGCTATTTTTAGTGCAATGGGGAACAATTTTGATAGTAGAAACTTTATTTTGACCTGATTGAGCAATTGTTTGTTGTTGAGCAACTGAGCAAAGCAAAAGCAAGCAAAGCAATTGTTCCTTGCATGCAGAAACACTACCTTTCTGGCACACTATTTTCTATCCAGTAACGTAATTCGATGCTCCAGAAAGGGTGTGTTTTCTCAAGCTCAAAGTGCACACAGTTATCCTCGAGTTACCCCATTGCCAATCACTTTTTCGATATGGATTCTCATTTTTCTTTTCTCGTATTTCTATTTCTTTGATCTTCATAAAGAAGTGGAGACAAGCAATTATTTGGAAAGCAAAAGGAAAGGAAAGGAAAGGAAAGAAAGGAAAGAAAGAAAGAAAGAAAAGAAAGAAAGAAAGAAAGGAAAGAAAGAAAAGAAAGAAAGAAAAGAAAAGGAAAGGAAAAAGCTTTTCCTTTTTCTGTTCAATGACCAATTCTTTCAACTTGCACCTATTAAAAGTAGCCCCAAATAAGCTGAAAAAATGAATTTTCTTTACTTAAAAAGGAATAAAATCAAAAAACCATCCTTTCTATTGGATTACATATAAATGAACCGATTGAAATTTGAAAACCCAACTCTTTTTTTGTACAACTCTTGCTTTTTTTTCCAGTTGATCACCGAAAATGAATGCCTCATTCATCATCTAATCCATCTTTTTCTTTTCTTTTTGAAAAAAAAATCACCGTTTTTCTTTTTTCGTCATGATACAAAGGTAATCCCATTGGAAAAGAAGACATGTGCGTTTTTTAAATAGAACTTCTTTTATTTTACATTTTTAAAGATAATTTTTTGGGTTTCTTTTAGATTTCTTAGATCAATCGTTATAGATTTACACTTTCGCGTTTAGATTTTCGTTTTAGATTTCCTTCTAAGTGTTGGGCCGGGAATTGATCTCAAGAATTTGGGAATAAGGGCCCCAAATCAAGGGGAGAACAGCTGCGCCGCTAGGCGTTCCTTTTCCCACACAGATTCAAAGATGTAAGCACCTCATGCCAAGCCTGTATGCCGGGTCGCGAGCGTTTACACGGCCGCACAAAGAATGCTTCTTCAGCCTTTTACATACTACCCCACTCCCCTAATGACGGTGCGGAGTATTGCGTAGTCTAGCTTTGAACGTGCTTTTTCTCGATCTTGTTTTATACGATAATGCGCGCTTAGTTATCAAAAAAATAACTGAAATTCAGAGCTTTTTTTGATCTTAAAGACGCATTTTTTGAAAATATTTTGAAAAGAAAAAAGCAATTTGAAAAAAAAAAATGAAATACTAAAAGAGTTTTTGCAATTATTACAGTATTTACGGTCAGAATTCTTCTTTTTCTTTATAAATCATATAAAAAGAATATATTTAGCTGTGATTTTGTTTTCAAATCGATTAGAGCTATTCATTTCGTGAATCTCTAACAATTATTATGTTGGCAACTTAATAATGACGCGTTTATGTACAGGGTGCGGCAGAATTATAGGTGCAGAGAAGTTCCATTGGAATATGACCAAAAAACGAAAAATTTGCCACAAAAACAGTTTTAAAATATTTATTGAACTTAAATTAACAACTTTTATTGATCATATTCGAATCTTCCTCCTTTGGCGTCGATGCAAGACTTAAGTCATTAATATGTAATAAATCATTTATTTTAAAAAAACACACAAAAGAAGAGCTTTCAATTCGAAAGGTATTCTCCATTAGTATCTATTTTCTTCTTCCCATCTTCTGCGCAAATCCCGGATCCCATCCTCGAAGAACTTGGGAGTTTTTGAGGCGAAGTAGTTTTTGAGGCGAGGCATTCACTGCTTTTATCACCTGTGCATGATCATCGAACTTTTGTGCGAACGATGAAATTTGGAGCACAAAATTTTATTTATGCAGACATCTTTTACTTTGTATACATGTTGTGTCCGATTTAGATTTCCGTCCGATTTAGATTCAATCTAAACCGGACGTCCGATTTAGATTGAACTTATCGCGGACGTCCGATTTAGATTACGGTCTATATCGGACGTCCGATTTAGATTCAATCTAAATCTTATATAGATTGAACAATAATATAAACATGCTTAATATATGTTCTTAAGCGTTTTCTGTAGTTTTCTGCATTTTTCAAAGGTCTTTTATTGATTACAGTCTATATCGGACGTCCGATATAGACTGTAATCTAAATCGGACGTCCGCGATAAGTTCAATCTAAATCGGACGTCCGATATAGACTGTAATCTAAATCGGACGTCCGCGATAAGTTCAATCTAAATCGGACGTCCGATATAGACTGTAATCTAAATCGGACGAAAATCTACGCCGCAAAAAAGAGGGAAGAAACGGCGCTTGAAATTACCAAAAAACATGTTATCGTCATTATTAAGTTGCCAACCTAATAGAACTCGGATTTAGAATTTGGATTTTGGATAAAAGCAGGATAATTTGGATAAAAGCAATCCTAAAACAGAAAATTTCAATCAGCGACTTGAAATGTTTATAAGAAATCGATTTTTGGCAATAAATACATCACTTTTTGTTTTCTTTTTTTTTGCATTTCCACCTACGTACTCAAGGATCCTCGAAATGTAAATGGCTTTTGGCGTTAAAGAAGCCCAATTTTCCGCTCTTTTTCACCCTTTCATCTGAATCGGTCAATCCACTACCTTTTTCTTGACTTTTTCTTGACTTTTCCTTTGAATCTTTTCCCTTTTTTTAAGCTGAGAATCAACTTTTCATCATCATCTTTTGCCCACTTATGTCCATTTCTATTTTCTATTTTCTCTTTTTTTTTTTTTTTTTTGCAGCCGATACACCCCCAATTTTTGTTGAATTGAATTGAAATTGAATATCTTCTCTTCAAATGTTTTTCTTTAGTTTATTCAGTTCATATAACTCTTTTGATATCAATTTCTAAACCGAATATCTTGATGGCATGAAGTTTGCACCTTAGCGTCCCTTGATACTTTGAAATATAACCCATGGAAAAAAAAATATAAGAAGAGTGTGTACACTGTGAAGTAAAATTGCAAAAGTCGATGAATGATTTTGAATTACTGTAGCCTGGATACTTCACAGTAGACTTGTTTATTGATATCATCTCGTGACAAACAACAACCTCATCTTTGACCGTTCAGATCTCAGTTTTTAGAATAGCTATCAATCTGCAAATTATTTCATTGGAAAGCCAAGAATGTCAGCTTTTGATTGCTATCTCACACATAGCAAATCCTCATAGGGAAATGCCTTAAAAATCAATACTGATCAATATCAATACTGATCGATAATCGATACTTTCGATATCGATCAGTATCGATAAGGTTTATGAAGTGCTTAGTCGTATTGAAGTGCGTATTGAAACTCGCTATACATAAAATAGCAATCAAAAGCTGACATTCTTGGCTTTCCAATGAAATAATTTGCAGATTGATAGCTATTCTAAAAACTGAGATCTGAACGGTCAAAGATGAGGTTGTTGTTTGTCACGAGATGATATCAATAAACAAGTCTACTGTGAAGTATCCAGGCTACAGTAATTCAAAATCATTCATTGACTAAAGGATCTCTTTCTTTTACCTTGAATATTGCTTTTTAATCTCTAAAATCGATTTTCCAGAACCTCTCAAGCAATCGACTTCGTGAAAAAGTGAAAAAACTGTAAAAAAATAATTCTCAATGTAATGGGCAAGCAATTGATTAAAGCAAAAAAAAACTTTAAAATAATATTGAAAAATGTTTCCTAAAAAGCACTAAAATCTTCTCTGCAGAGTGCCGATGACGAGGATACGGTAGAAAAAAAACCGAAAACATGCGACGGAAGCCGCCAAAATGGTCGGCGAATTGGGGGATTTCCCTGATCGTCTTCTTTTCTACCGTAATCATCGATGTCAATGCAAATGATGGTAATTTTGAGACAGATGATCTCGTCATTTTGATTTTTTTATGTAATTTGTGCTTAAACAAGGCTTCTATTGCACTGAATATTACATTTTTCTTGAAACAAGTCCTCACTGGTTCGGGTTCGAGGCTTCCCATTAGACATGGGAAGACTCCAGCCGGCCCCCAAATTTTGTCTACAAATAGAAATTAACATTCTCTGCTTGTAGACAAAATTTCAGAGCAATCGGTCAAAACGATGGGGAAAGGGGAGGTTGGGTTCGATTTCTCAGTCAAGGATTCCACCTTTGTTTTCTTTCTTTCTTGACCGATTGCTCTGAAATTTTGTCTACAAGCAGAGAATGCTAATTTCTATTTCTAGACAAAATTTCAGAACAATCGGTCAAAAGACGGCTGAGAAAACGAAGGTGGAATTAGGTTCGGCTTGGAATTTCCCCATGTCTAGTGAGGTGTAGGGGGGAGGGAAATTTTGTCTACAGAAATTAGCATTCTGCTGGGGCGAAAGACACTGAGAAAACAATGGTGGAATTAGGTTCGACTTGGAATTTTCTTATGTCTAAAGTGCAGTGTTTTGCGAGCTAGAAAAGGGTTTATTTACAAAACTTTGAGCACAAAGTAGACATTAATCTTGGGATTTTGATCCTCGAGCACTAGATTTGGCTTTAAAACAATTGCTTACCCATTACTTAACACAAAAAATTTCCGTTGCAGTCTTCTCATCGTATCAGGATTATATAAAGCAGTTGGCTTGTGAGTTTTTAACAAAAGATTTTATACCAAAGATATCAATTAATTATAGTTTAGAGATTCTGAAGAAGTCAACTTTAATGATTTAAAAGTTTCTATGAAAAAAAAGCATTAAATCGAAACATTAAGCACATCGTTTTTGACTCTTCGACTTCACAATTAAAAAAAAATCAACTAACGCAAACTTTTCAGAATTTCTTAAAGAGCAATAATAGAACTTTCTGATAAAGTTGCTTTTGATTGCTGTTGCATTTACCAAGCGTTAAAAGGCATTTACCAAGCGTTAAAAAGCATTTACCAAGCATTTACCATAACGTAGATCGATTGGTACAAAAAGCGAACAAGATTTACAACCTGATAGCAAAGTTCTCCTCTTTCCAGACCCGGCTCGTCTCGTCGTCCGTCCCGATGCTTCAGTCGTTGTCACCTCATCGCCAGTCTCATTTTTCTGTCGATCTGATGGAAATCCTCTGCCAACAGTCGTCTGGAAAGTCAACGGGAAAAGTATCACCGATTCGAGGTGAGTAATTGAAGCCCAGTTTCAAGAAGTATTACAGAAATTTCTATTGAACGAACATCAGTTTGAGCACTGTTTGAGCTAGAATTGTTTCAAAGAGAACCAGGCTGAGAAGTCAGACAATTGGAAGTCAGACAATTGGAAGTCAGACAACTGGAAGTCAGACAACTGGAAGTCAGACAACTGGAAGTCAGACAATTGGAAGACAGAGATCTAGCTTTTAGGCTCTGATTGAGCTCTTTACCTGATCTGTTTTCTGTTGTTGTCATCGGCCTCATCGTTTGAAACAAAATCCCACTCCTATCTTTTCAGATTCACTGTGAAATCCCTTCAATCGGGTCTTTCGACTCTTCGAATTGAGCCAGTGATTCCATCCGATAATCAATCGCTGATCTCTTGTTCCGCCGACAATGGAGTCGCTTCACCAGTTTTTGCTGAAGCGTTGCTGACCGTTTTCGAGAAAGGTTTATAGAAGTTTATAGAAATTTATAGAAGTTTATAGAAGTTTATAGAAATTTCTAGAAAAGTTTCCGTATTTCCGAGTTAATCAAGCGAATCTCAATCATATCAATTCAAATCATATCAATCAAACTTTCAAAAAACTTGATGAAACTCTTCAGAATCAACTCCCACCGGTTTCCCGTCAATCGACTCCCATCCATCTCTCAAATCAGTTGAACAAGGAAGAACGGCACACGTGAATTGCCGAGTACACGGGGCACCAAGACCAAAAGTCAGTGGATTTGATGCTTTTCATTTAAATCATGTTTTATAACTAACTAGGGAAAAGTACTAGATCACCGTGAGATTTCGAAACGAGACCTATCCAATTCGAAAATCGAATAGAGCATCCGAATCTGTACTCAAAATCGTGCTCTAATCAAAATTAGATAAGAAAATAAAGCAAAATAGTATAAGAATTTGTGAATATCAGAAATATCATTGTGAAAATGTAAAAAGAAAGACTTTTTTGAGTGGGGGATTCGAACACACTATGAACCGCTCTATAGACAAGTAGACTACCCGTTAGACTATGCCCACCGACCAAAGAAGAGGGTAAACTCGGGTTAAGACTGTATGATCCGAATTCCGCGTTCGATTCTCCGGATGGTTTCGTTTCGGAATCTCTTCTCTAAGAGTTTTTCCAGGTTCTCTGGCTTCGCGATTTAATCCCAGTGGACATTCGCGCAGATGCTCGATACTCTGTTTCAACAATCGGAAATCCCGGTCAGTTTTTAAGGAATCACCGGAGACTCAGCAAAAGTTTGATGGCAAATTTAGCCTCCCTTGTTCTTTGTAGTGCACTTTGTACTCAAAAAATGTAAACGCAAACCTCCTCGTGCACTCAATTAACTCCCATTTCCACTGTTGTTCTTCAAGAAAACAACAGAGTCTGCCAGAAAGAGTGTGTTTCCATAGAAAGCTCAAAACCCAAACCAATGTTATCTCTCAACTTTTTGCCTTGAAACTTTTGCTGAGTCTAGTCAATCGGTTGTCAACCGGTTGTGCGCTCATTTCCCAATCGCACAACCCGAGTTCAATGCCTCGAGCTTGCCGTGAACTCTTCCCCAACCCTTTTTCCTTTCAAATTTCTCATTTATTAAACAGATTTAGACAACAACGGAAGTACAGGTAAATAAAGAAATTCATTTTTTTTTCATTCATTCATTTACCGTAAATACTGTAATAGTACTCCACGCCCATAATGACGATGCGGAGCGTTGCGTAGTCTAGCATTGGACGTGTTTTTCTCGACACTGATTTATGCTACAATGCTCGCTTAAGGACGGTGCGGAGCGTTGCGTAGTCTAGCATTGGACGTGTTTTTCTCGACACTGATTTATGCTACAATGCGCGCTTAGGTATCAAAAAATAGCTGAAATTCAAGGCTATTTTTTGATACCAAAGACAGTCGCGTAGTCGCTAAAGTTTTCCAGTATTTCATTTTTTTCAAAGCGCCCGTACTTTCAAAAAATGCGTCTTTGGTATCAAAAAATAGCCCTGAATTTCAGCTATTTTTTGATACCTAAACGAACATTGTAGCATAAACCAGTGTCGAGAAAAACTCGTTCAAAGCTAGACTACGCGATGCTCCGTCTTTTGATATCGAAAAATAGCCCTGAATTTCAGCTATTTTTTGATACCTAAGCGCACATTGTAGCATAAACCAGTGTCGAGAAAAACTCGTTCAAAGCTAGACTACACAACACTCCGCACAGTCATTATCGGGGTGGGGTACTATTAAAGTATTTACGGTATCTTTTTTTGAGTGCTCTTTTTTGACTAAACTTCTAAACCAAAAACTTTTTTTTCTTTAACTTTTAAGTGATGTGTTTGTGCTTTTTTCTTTCTCTGACAACAATTTCTGACTGACCAAAATGATTGTCAAACGTTTTTTTTTGCGCTCCTAATCACCGCGCTTTTGAAAAGAAACAAAGCCGACATCTATTTTTGCACAAAAATCATACAGTAATCTGGGGAAAATAGTGTTGAATTTTAGGTGCTTTGATGATACAAAATGCGCGAGAGGAAGATCAAGGGAAATACGAATGTGTGGCAAGGAATGAACACGGCGTGATGCACTCGAAATCTGCACATCTTTATGTGAAAGGTTGGTACCAGTTTTTACTTTTGCTTGTCCTCTAGACCTTGAGTCCCGAGAGCTAAAAGATTTTCAGCTTCATTCCGAGTATAAACACGACTAGGTACAGCAGAACTTCTTTCTTTTCTTTCTTCTTCTCCCTATCCTTCTTTCTTTTGGCAAGTCAAGCTACCAGATAGCTCAGTGGTTAGAGCAATAGCGGCTCCAGCAATAGCAATAGCAGTTAGTCCGGGAAGCAGAAGGTCGAGGGTTCAACCCCCTCTCCGGAAATCTCGGTTTTGCCAATTCTTTAGCTTCTTTATTAAACGGAAATTGTTCTACTGCTTCAATGCTTCAAATTTGAACTTAAAAATCAAGCTTATCAAATCAAATCACTATCAAAAGTCCTGCTGCTTTCCAAATCAAAAATCTAAAGATTTCCCTTCCTAAACATGTTTATACTCAAAATAAAGCTGAAAATCTTGGCTTCCAGGATTAAGCAAGGTTTAGAGTTCACTTAAACTGGTAAAAAAAAGCAAAGCAAAGTAGAAGGTTGATGGCATAATCTCAATGAAATTCTTGGCACAAGTTGATAGGTGAAAATAAAGTTTGATGGTTGAATCTTGAATCTTTGTGCTTTTTTTTAAAAATTCTTATCCATTTGCTATCACTTTGCTTTTTTAAATTCTTATCCATTTTCAAATTCCTTGCAAAAGATGGAGAAACATGTTTCCTTAAATACCTACCGTAAATACTGTAATAGTACCCCACCGTCCTCGTACAGTCGCGTAGTCGCAAAAGTTTTTTAGTATTTCATTTTTTTCAAAGCACCCGTACTTTCGAAAAATGCGTTTTTGGTATCAAAAAATAGCCCTGAATTTCAGCTATTTTTTTGATACCTAAGCGCGCATTGTAGCATAAACCAGTGTCGAGAAAAACTCGTTCAAAGCTAGACTACGCAACGCGCCGCACCGTCCTTAAGCGCGCATTGTAGCATAAATCAGTGTCGAGAAAAACGCGTCCAAAGCTAGACTACGCAACGCGCCGCACCGTCATTATGGGGGTGGGGTACTATTACAGTATTTACGGTAGGTCAAAATAAAGTTTGATAGTTGAATGAATCTTTGTGCTTTTTTTAAAAATCCATTTGCTGCTTATTTATTTGCTATCACCTTGCTTTTTTAAATTCTTATCCATTTGCTATCCATTATCTCTAAACCTTTTAAACCTTTGACTTTTGCAAGATTGGATAATCACGGTTCCAAAAGTAAATCTCATTTCAATGAACCAGAAATTGGGATGAGGGTAATTCCTGAAGTGAGTCCACTAAAGAGAGAGAGAAAAGGGGAATGGAAAGGTCATAAGGATGGGTCGATTAAAGAAAAGAAGAGAAAAAGAGACATTTCATAATGTGATTTCTTTCGATTGGTGCTTGAAATTTAGCGGAGAGACGCACCGATTCCATCCCATTTTGCTCATTTGCATATCTTCTTAGCCCTTGACTTTCCAAGCATCTAATTTCTTTTTAAGGATTTCATTTGGACAGGTGGCTCTAATCAAAACCTTATTTGGTGAAGAAAATAACTTTCCAACAACTTTCTACACCTAAAATTCGAAACCTTTAATTACATTCAGAAAATTTTAAGTTTAAATATTAGGTTGATGCAAAAGTCTTTTTCATTTTTTTCGTACTTCCGTTAAAAAGTAACAAATGCACCAATTGAACAACGGTTTATTGCATTCGAAAGGCCAATTATTTTTCTGCAAAATGACATTAAAACGAGTTTAAAATGTCTTATGTCTAGATTTTTTTGAAAGCCTGAAGTCGGGTAGTCAAAAAAGGCGACGGCTCGATGATGCATTTTAGACGCTTTAGCTAAGGAAACCCAATCTTGATGTTAATAAATAAATAAAAGATAGAGCACAAAAAGTTAGATATTTTTTCAGATTTTCAGAGAAATTGATTCAGCCAATTTCTTTATAGAGGTTTTTATAGATTTTTATGAATAAACCCGTTTTCACTCTCGAATTTGCTTGAAAGTGAACCCAAATTGACTTAAAAAGATGGGAAATTCAACAATAAACACTTTTCATTTAGAGCAAACCATAGGTTAATTGATGACTTTGTTATTTTTCAAAAGAAGTACGAAAAAATGAAAAAGACTTTTGCATCAACCTAATACCTTTAGACTTTAGAAAGACATCAACTAAATGCTTTTTAGAGCTTTTTCGAGCTTTTTCGAGCTTTTTTTCGATCTTTTTTTCATTTTAGATCTTTTTTTTTCCAATTTAGATAGCCTTATTGCCTTTTTTGCCATTCTTTTCGTCCACATTTTTTTTGGAACAATTCAATTGAGGCTTTTTGACTTCAACACCGAATTTACATTAGTTTTTACATTCGTTCTACATTAGTACCTTTTTATTCCCACCGTTAGATGCAACACTTTGAGCATTTTATTTGTTGATTACTTCATTTACTACAAAGAACTTGATTTTTCGCTGTAATTAATTTATAATTTAAGAATTTTACCAGATTCTGGATCCTAAAACTTGTTAGATTGTTAAAAATGATAAAAATTAGCATAAATAGATTGGAAAAAGGTTAAAGAAATTTCGGGGTTTTGTCCCGCCCATGTTTTGACCTTGGAAAAGAGGAATTGCCTTTACACCCCAAAGGCGAAAATTTCAAAAACCTCTTTTTCACGCCTTGAAAAGAAGATCGTTTTCTCTTTGATTGTCTTGATAAGCTCGTTTGTTTTTCTTTTTTTCACTATAAAAATCGTTTTTCTTTGCTTGTCTTGCTACAAATTTGGACAATTTTTGTCTCACTGTTGAAAAGATCTCTTGGTGAATCTCTTCTCACTAAAAGCTTTACTCAAAATTCTTTTTTTTTTCTAGAATATTTAGAAATATGAGTTTTAAGAAAAGCTAGAAAAGTATTTGTTGAAATTTCAATCGATTTAGAATAAAGAATTAGAGATTTTAAAAATTAAAAAAAGATTTTAAAACTCTATCGTTAACCTAGACTAGACGTTAATCTAGATTTACTTCAAGAGCTCATGAATCTTTCCCTTTTGCGCAAGAGTACCGCTTACGAGATTTTCCAGAGTCAGTCAACCTGCCTACTATAAAAATTTACATACTCTCGTTTGTGGGGGCTCAGTAGTATAAATGTTGAATCGAACATCTGCTTTCACTCCACTTTTCCCTCCTTTTTTTTCTCATTCATTCCCTTTCCCTCAAGATTCAAGCTGAACTGAGCGCGATCGTCCAATAAAATTCGTGACATTGCCTCCGCCTTTTTGCGAGTGGAAAATTGTGGTCAATGACTTTGAAAAGATTGGGTTTTTGGTCAGGGAAAACCATGAGATCCAACCGATTTATGGTTTTAAGCTGCATTCTGTGCATTTTAAGATTGATGATGTTTGGGACATTGTTCTGTTCGATTTAGATATCATTATCTAAAGATATCATTATCATTATCTAAGATAGATAGTTAAATATCATTATCATTATCTTTAGATATCATTATTCTCTAAATTCAGTTGCTGTTTAGTGCTACAATGATTTAACAGAGTCTAGAATTTATTGGAGCACAGAGTTCTTGGAGGGGTGGTGTACGGGGAGGTTGGGTCGGGTCCTAGAGTCCTCTCAACGCAAAAATCCAGCCAAATTTGGGGCGGAAATCGGTTCCAGGGATTCGGGGGGAATGACGGTCAAACGGCCGAGCCGGCTCTCTCTACGGATTCGAAAGAGGTCAGCTATCTATCGGGTGCCTGTGCCAGACGGCTAGCGATTGTGGGCGCGCACAAAGAACACCTTGCTTCATTTTCGTGGGATTCTTTATAGATAGTACAAAAAGAAGATATTCAGCTGTGAATTTGTACCCGAGGGTTTGCGGGATCGGCGAATCGATTGAAGCTATAGTTCTATTGTTAATACAGCAGCATTAGCATTATGCATTTATCAATCTATTCATTCAAAAAAAAACGTTTTGCTTAACGTGTCCTTTTTCTATTTTTGGCTTTAGTCGCATCTCGTTAACGACTTAGCTTCGCTCTCATCGTAAACGTTAGATCGTTTTTCTTTTTTCTTTTTTTCTGCCACAATTCCATTCGAAACTCGCGCGTAATTGGGGAATAGATTTTTTTGATGGGAAATTGAGCAGATCTTCCGAAAATCTCATAAGAGGTGAGTGTTTTTTTTTTCGAATTTTACTACACCAATCATTTGAAAATTTGAAATTCAAGAAATAGAACTAGAATTGAAACTAGAAATTAATTAGTATCAGAATTCTTAAACTTATAGCATTTGAATTTGAAGTATTAAATCGAACTAACATTATCACCACCGTTTTTTCTTCTTTACTCAATCATCAGCTTCTTCATACGTACACCAAACCAAAAAGCAATTCTCATTTGTTTCTTTCTTTTCTTTCTTTCTTTCTTTCTTTCCTTCTTTCTTTCTTTCTTTCTTTCCTTCTTTCTTTCTTTCTTTTATTAAATCCGATTCTGACCTCATTGGCATAAAGATAATCTTTTGATGTGAGAAAAGAATTGCTTTTTTGAAAAGAATAAAAAGAGTGAGAGACTGAGAGAAAGGGATCTTATTGGTGGAAAAAGGTAATAATTGGATGTGCTTTGGGAGATTCAGATAAATAAGCGCTGGGGCGATAGAATGGGAATTCAGGTGGAAATCAAAGCTGGTTGATCTATAGTCAAAGATTCGATTTTTTTTACCTGTTTGTTTCAATTTTATGGCATTAATTCTTTGCTAGATGTATAGATATTTCAGTGTCAGTTATCTATTAGAAAATTTCTTTCTTTTCTCATATCCAAAATGCTCCGCTCTTTAGTTAGAGGTTATTTTAGAAGTGTAGCTTTGAAAAATCCACAGATACAGCTTTCGATTTTGAAATACAGCTTTTGAAAATCACAGATCAGTTGATATTTTAATATTTATTCATATTCATATTATATTGGGTTGATGCATAATTATCCGGACTTCTTTTATAAATGATTTTATTTAAC